GAAATATAAAATTGTACGTAAATAGTTGAAAGTTTATAGTTTTGGTTACTTATATTATGTAATTAGTATTTGTAACCCAATGTACCTGTTGTAACTGGAGTTTTTTCCAAATTACGCTAATAAACTTGAATTGAATTGAATATATTATGTAATTAGAAATTTTTTATAAAGGCAGTTTGCATATAGCATGGAAATAATGTGCAATTTTATTTCATATATATATATGTTGGTTAATTTAACATTTTATTGTTGAAACTATTTTAAAATGAAAATAATAATTTTTTATATTTTAAACCTTTGATTTTGATTGCGATTGTGTATGCTTTGTTTGACATCAATGACTTGGTTTGGATGTTTGGATTGTTTTTAATTTATCATGTTTGTCATAATTTTAATGAAAATAATTTAATAATTTATTTTTAATGTAAAATTTGATTAGTTTAACATTAATTTTTTTTTTTTAAATTGCAGAATTGAGTTATGGGTAAAACCTTTTTATAATAATCTTGTGAATAAATGCTCTTATGTCCACTTATATTATTTGCTCATAATCTTTTTGAAAGCAATCAAATTCTTACCTATATATTGTATATCTTCTGAAATTTTCTGATTTGTTTTTGAATGTTTATCTAAACTCATTGATTCATTAGAATCTGAATTATATCTTATTTTCTCTACATATTTAATTTATTTCTCTTTTCTCTTCTTATGTAAATTATTTTTTTCATCAGTCAAGAATCTTAGTTTTTGTTTTTTTATATACATCTTTTCTTCATGATCTGTTTCTACTTTCTCTAAATAAACATATATTCACATTATTGATTTTTTAAAATGTTGACTATTAAAATATTAAATTGATTTTCAGATCAATTGAAGTATGGTACATATTTCAATTGACCTGAAAATCAATATATATAATATAAAACATTTATATAAAATAATAAATAAATAAAAGTAAAACTGAATGATAATGAAACAAAATTGGTTGTATAATAATTATAATTTATGTGTCATTTTGTTTACATGTATTACTGTTATTTGTTTTGAATGTAAATCAATGTGTTTGAAACATGACTTTTGTTCATTTATGACTGTTAGATAGCTTTTTTTTTTTTTTTTTTTTTTACAAGATTCGTGACAGAACACCTTTGTTTAACTCTTAAGCAAATTTAATTAAGTTGAGTGCCCTTTTTTACAATTTCAAACGTAACTTAAATTCTAAAAAGAAGCACTAAACTTAATTATGTTTGAAATTCCATACGTCGGCTTGGATTTCTGTTACACAAAGAACGGGGACGTTAGAAAATTGATTTTGCCTTGGTAACTTCGTTTTTCTGGAAAAACGAACGTTAAAAAAACCGGTTAACTCATCTAACAATGCGTAAATAATAATAAATAATAATAATAATAATGTATTGTTATCGCATTATACATTTCCTCACGGTCGTGCCTCGTCGTTACAGTTGCGATGCCACATCCCATCGCAGCTGTTACACTTTAAGGACCGGCGCAAACCGCCCGGTTCCTGGATCCTTATTGTGAGCTTCCCCCTGCCGGAACCCTAAAAATGGGGTAGAGAACGAGCTTTTTTGAATCCGCTTTCTTACAATGGGAACGGGTCTCTGTTTAAAGCGATACTGTACCTGCTGCACGCGCGGTCGAGGAACTTCGATTCCGTAGTGTGTTTTTTGAACCAGTAAAACACGGGAATAGATCCTGTACGTTGCCACCTTTATCTTCATCTAATCTTAATTAATTAAACGTCCTTATCGTCGCCCAGTCCATAAGTGAAACCAACTGCCATGTTTTTTTATAGGTTACTTTTCACCTTTAGACCCACCACCTATTTTTAGACTGGTAAATAATTTTCTAAGTGTAATTAATATCTTCGTAACGGCGTAACTTAAAGCGTAATAAATGCTAAAATACAGGAGAATGGTTACTTCTAAAACACGTGTCGAAGGAAATGCCTTTACACTTGGCAGGACTTAAATCCGCACGCGATATGTTACGTATACGTGCACGCGCGCGTAACGTCCAAAGAAAGAAATTTCGTTAAGTAATCCGGCGATTGAGCTTTTGTCCTCTTATAATGGATTACTTGCGTAAAAAACGAGGTTCAAATATTGTCAGACGCCGGTGTTCGTTCGAGCGTAACACCGGAGAAAATGACTTTTCGGTGTTTTTTGGATACGAGCCAATAATGCGCGATTGTTACGTTATCGAAAAATATGTCACTTGGCTATTAACCTTTCCCCCGTGCAATATTTACACACCTAGACGGAGAGGAAATCTAAAAAATGGGGGTATTATTTCAAAAAATCGACGGATTTTTATTGAATTTCGAAGCGTAACAGCCGTTCTTTCTCCGATCCGTAACTCGAGTACCAATCTCGATCACTTAAAGTAATTGTTCCGCAACGGTAGACTTAAGCGTGAAGTTTTCGTGCGTCGGTCAGTATGTCTGTACCACTCCTTTTAATTCGAAAATATGTCACGTCGAAAGCGGCATTAAAAATAACGCGGGTAAAAAAAGGGGAAGCGATTCGTTTCTGTTTCTTCTCGTTTAAGCGTCACGGAAGAACTGACGGGTCGGTGCTTCGTGACGGTCATCTAAACTGGAAGAAAAAAAAGGTCATTTCCCAAACAACCATCCATAACAGGACCCCCCTTTTAAAGAACAGGATCCTGTAGCCAGTCGGGTAGGTGGAGAATGACGTCACGATCGAGTTACGCGGCCGTCGGACCCGCAACCTTACGTAATTTGTCACGTCGACGGGTCGCAAATTAGGGGCCTCGTGGAAGAAACTGCAATTCCCAACGTCCAGAAAGGGGGTCGGAAGTTCGAGGTCGTCGTCACGTCCGAGCGGAAAAATGGCGTCGAGCCAAATTACCCGTTTGCAACCTTTGATCGAGTCGTGCATCTACTCTCCGATTACTTCGTGATAAGAGAGGGGACTCTGCAAATTCCTGAATTCTTTTCCGCCCCCACCCCCCGACAATCGTGCAGTCGTGTTATCGTCTCCCTTTGTCGTTAAGGGAAATCGAAATTTCAAAAAACACACGAAATTAATGGACCGACTTCTAAAAACACTATAATACAGAAGGTTAACACACAAGTGAGACTATTTTGCCGTGTTTTTCTACACTTGGGCTGGTGTTCTGTTTTTTTATTTAGAGGCTACCGATCCGTGAATGAAAGGAGGGTGGAGCAGTGCAGAAACCAGTTCGCTCCAATTGGTGGGTGTAGCGAAAAAGAAAGGTCGTTCTCGCTGGCCAAACACACACAACACACAAAAAAGCCTCTTTACCCCACTCCTTTCTTCGCTTATCAAAAAAAGACAAATGGTCTTCTCTGATCACGTGTCCTTAAAGTGTGGGGAAGGAACCTATTACCGAAGAAATATGTCACTTTTTGTGTGTATTAACGATGGCGGATGGAGTATAGACGGATTAGAAGTCGTAGATGGGATTAACAGAACAACGCGAGGGAATACTCTAAATCTACGTAATGTAACAATTAAACCACACACGTGCCCTATTTAAAGCGTGTAATTTCTAAAATTAGCAATTTTAAAAAACCTCTCCCTCTCGAAACAATTGTTCTACAACACTCGAACCGGTGTTGTTTTTAAAAATAATTTGCTAAACTTTCGCGTGATTTATTCTTCCCGACGTGCATTTTTAGAAAAATGTATTCCCGTGTTAAGTCGTAGATAACCCTTATTTACAATCAATGGCGTACGGATAAGATTAGGGAATGACCTCCGTATTGTTGACGATTGTTTCGAATTTTCAAATTCAAACGCCCGGTGTCTCTGTCGTCGTGTCGTTTGTAGTGTACGCGCGACCGCGAAATTGCGTAATGGTGTTAGTTTTGCAGAATTTATTTTCGCAAAAAGTGGAGTCGGCGTGTGGCCCCGTTATCGTCGATACGGTCGCGAATTTTGCTAACCTTTAACCTTCCCGTCTACCGTTTCGGGTCAAGGAGGAAGGAACGTCCTAAATATATATCATATTAAAGCGCGTCGGGTCAAAACCGGAGCCCGTTTACCCCTCGACTTGTAAAAGTGTACAATAAATTAATTTAAAGATGGAAGACACCATCGGCAAACTAGTACGACTTTACACTCGGGTTTTTGCTTTATTAATGCAAACGTCGATTCTACCTTACGAAACCAGAAATGTTTTATTAATTATCTTACTACGCTATTTATTAATGCTAACAGAGATTCGGGAGTGTGCCTTTATCGCGTGTCACTCCGGCCAAACGGAGGTGGGTGTTTGTTGTTTTAAAAATTTAAATGCCAAATTTAAATTGGTGCAGCATACGAATTGTAACGTACCGATACCCTACCGCCAGGAAATTTCGGTGTGGCATCGGTTATGTGGAACGATCTTAAGTCTAAGCATACTTTAATGGCACGTAAACGAGATGATGACACTTGCTTTTGGCACGGTGTGGTGCGCGCCACCAAAAGCACTTTTTACGCTTTCTCTCCAGTTTCCC